TAAAAAATACTGGTTACTTGTAGGCGTGAGCGTCCAACTAAATGTTTGCGTGAGGCTGCGTGCTGCACCCTGGCCCAGATGGAGCTTTTGGGCATGACAGTAGAACTAACTATTAAAAAAAAAAAAGGAAAACTATGCATGTAAGAAATATAAAAAGTTATTTATTTAATGTAGTGCTTTTCAAAAGCTTGGCTATTGCTAGTAAAGAAGTTGCTGTTGGTATGTATTACCTGTCCTTGCCCATCTGGCTTTAGAGCAACTGATAATGAACTGCTTGTGGTTGTTGCTTTTAATGTAATAAAATGTACAGGGCTTATAGCATTGTCATACGAGGAAGATATAAATGTAATTTGGTGAGATTGCTGCTGTTAATATTTATACTAAGTCAGTGTCTATTCTATTGTTGGTTCCAACCTACCACATGCTGTTTTTAACAAAATATCTGAAGTATCACCCTGAAGTGTTCACTCATCTGTCACTCAGGGATGAGTCAGGAAGTATATTATAGTAAAACAAAAAATGATCGATTTATGGAGTGTTTAATACACGATATAGCTATAACCACATGAAATTCTTAGGAAGGAACTGAATGGCAAGCTTCTCACAACTTGCAGTTCAATGTTGAACAGTTCTGCAGGGAGGTGAGCGGAAGGAATTTAACACCAGATTTCGCACTGCGGATCTCGGGAGTTGTTTGCATGTTAGAGATTTGGTGCCTTTAAGTCCATAAAATACCGTGGTGAAAAGGGGGAAGTTGCGTGGGTTGTACTTCTCAGGCGCTCTCTGCGCTTGTGCGGGCTAAACCATGATCTTGTGCATTAAAGGGAATTGTGATTGATGAGAATGCCTGGGATTTTTTTTTATTTAGTATCAAAGAACATTTATCGTTCAGTTACCATGACTGATAGGAAGCCTTAAGCTTATTTGTCTCAACCTTACCGTTATCTGTATCACATTTTTTTTTAATCTCATGTGCATATAAAGTTTGTTTATTGCATTTTTATTTACAGGAGGGTTCAAGTGGCAACTTTGGCTCTAAAATTGTTTACAGAAACACGTGTGTGTTGTGCTGTCGGGCTTGGTATAAAAACGTGTGCATATATATATGTAGACACTTTAATGAAAGGAGATCGTTCTGTTAATTATTCTCTATTTGCTGTTTTTTAAAGTGATGATCTCTTGTTTTCTTCTAGCATCAGATAATAGTCAGCGATTTCGAGAAACCTGCTTTGCATTTGCACTGACGCCACAACAAGTGCAGCAAATCAGCAGTTCAATGTGAGTTTGATCAGTAATACAGTATTTAAATAAAAATAAATAACCAGATGAACTAGCTTACCATAGCCTGCCTTTTGAAATGTGAGCTTCAAGGACACAGGTGTGTGTGTGTGTGTGGTGTCTCAGAAAATACTGTTCTGGGGAATTCTTTTCTCTTTTGTGTGTAAGCTGGTGGAGAGGATAAGGGTGAGGAAGAGAGAATTAAGTACCGCTGCTGCTCAGTGAGTATTGGGCAGGTTTCTCTTGTACTAAGTGCTGTACAAATACATCATTTTCCTTCCTGCAGCCCTTTCTCGCCATCAGTCAGATCCTTTGTCGAGTTCTGTGTTTATTCACTTTAGAGATGGTGCTTCACTGTGACCCATCAGGATTTCTTTATAACATACAAAAAAAATGAAATGGTAGAGGTCAGATGAGAATGCAATTCATTTATTTACCTTGAGAAATAAAAAATGTACCTTTTAGTGTGTCTTGAGACCGGTGGCTTGACCAGAAGGAGGGAGATGTGGTATACACTGTGTATATACCGGGAAGTGGGGTTTGCATACATTGAACTTAGAACAAACTCTGAGAAAATATCAGTAAACTTGTTGGGTAAACAAAATGCTTTAACTCCTTTTCTACTTTTTCTAGGGATATTTCTGGGACCAAATGTGACTTCACAGTACAGGTCCAGCTAAGGTATGTATTTGTATTGCCAGTTCTTGATACTGCTTTTTTTTTTTTTAAATACATCAGATGTATGCTTCCTAGCAGGTCAGGCTTTCCTCTATGGAGAAGAGTCTCATCCTGTTGTTTTCTTGAGAAAATGTTGCTGTTGGCTGCTTTTTTTTTTAGCTGAGGGCAAACTTAATTACTTGTCCTTGTTACGTGCAGCTTTCCTGAAGTTGCTGGTGGCCTGACGTCTGGCGTGCCGGAATACTGCGTGCACTTAGCTGTAGCTGGCTGATTTTCTTCAGCTAGTTATTTTAGACTGTATGTGTGCTCCTTGCTTGAACTCTGCGTCTGTCAGATTCCAGGGACCTAGGCCTTCAAGATCTACGTGCAGGGAGGGTCGTTTTTCCTAGCTGAGATGTCAAACCACAGTATTTCCTGGACATGGCAACCCAAGGTCTGCCCTTCTTTAGGCAATGGAAGGCAGGACTTTGGGAATCACCACAGCAGGTCTTAACCTGTTGGTTGTTTTAGAGGTTTTGCCAAATATATCCTAAGTTGATTAAATCCTTTTCATCCCTGTAAGTCTTTGGAGGGCTTTGAGCAGAGGTGACTTCAGAGCTTCCTTCTGTGGAAAATGGCTGTCTTGCTTTTTGTCCCTCCTGGTCACGTCTGCACAGTGAGCTCTTGACTCGCCAGACAGAAAGCTTTTTTTGGGTGTTGCTTGTCAGGATACCTTCTGCTGACCCACAGGTTGGCTTGGCTTGGTGTGGGGTCAAATGGACAAAGGGACAGGGAGGACATGGTGGAAAAGAGGAACAGAGAAGGTAGCTCCCACTTTTTGAGAGCAGCAGCTGTTGAATTGCTGTACCCTGATGTGATGGGACATTTGCGTGGATGGGATAGATCCCCTGGAAGAAATCCAGCGGAGCCGAGAGGCTCTTTTTGGTCTTTTGAATGCCTATTGTCTGCAATCTTGGCTTACACACATTTCGTAGGACGAGGAAGGGTGTGTTTGATTTTGGTTCCAGCAGCAAATAAGCATGTCTGAACTTAAGTAAATAAATAAAACTGTCTGAACTTCAGTAAGAGGCTCGACATAGGCATGAGGAGACCATTTGATGCTGCGGCTAAACAGCTGTCCGGTTTATTGAAGTTGGAGGAGGCACAGTTGAAGAGGCTGTGGATTTTGCCCTTCGTGAAACCCTGGTCTGTGTCAAGGGGCCAGGCTGGAGAAATGGTAGGAAAAAAATTCCGATGATTGGTCTTGTGTAAGAGGAACCTGCGTATCTGAATGAGTCAGAGTCGGTCTGAGGGATTCAAGAAATCTGGGGAGGAACCTACAGCTATCTTGACCCAAATGTGTAATTTTGAGGGGCTTTCCTGCTTAATGATTGGCACAGCTCATTTGAGGACTCCACTTAGCAAGATTTGTCGTGTTTTCATAAATCAGTGGGAAAAAAAATCATCCTTCTGCGAAGGGATGATCTTTAAATCTCTTTAGAAGTGAAAGATGATGGAAGCTCTTTGCTTTTAGGTTTTGTTTATCAGAAACCAGTTGTCCACAAGAAGATCACTTCCCACCCAATCTGTGTGTGAAAGTAAATGGGAAACCATGCAGCCTTCCAGTAAGTAAGATGTTATTTTGATACACGTATTTGGATAGCGTTATTAGGAACTGTCTGTCAGAAATGAGCCTGAGTATTTATCCTAACCATTGTTTTCACATTTTGAAACATTTGAATGAAGATGGATGGATGAATGGAAAAGATAGTTAAGTAAATTGTTTCTCAGCGGATCAACCAGTAGATCCAGAATATTAATTTTCAAAAGAAATAACAGCAAATTTTTGTGTTTGACAACCATCAAGTTTGGCTCTGTTTTGGAGGTCATCTGTGCAGGGAATAGACCATCACTGACCAACAGGACTGAAGAGAAAATCACCAATTTCCAGTACTGGGGCAGTGTCCTGGGTCACGTTAGCCAGGCGGGATGAGTAGCAGTGCTGAGCCAGGAGAGGTGGTAGAGGTGCCTTTTGATATTCCATGGGCAGGGTTAGGATTTGGGAAGCGTGAGGCTCTGTGGAGGAGAAAGGGCTTGTAAAACACCTGATAATTCATTGTCTGGTGTGTACCTATGTCTACACACCTGTCTTTCTATAAATATCTTTAGATTGAAGAGGGAGCCTCCTTCAGGTGAGACACAGCTTTTATTAGGGCAGAGTTGTGGTGAGAGGGGAAGGAGGTAGAAGCAGTACGTATTTTTGTTTGTTTGCTTGCTGAGAGGAAATATGCTTTGATTTCTAGGGCTATCTTCCACCAACCAAAAATGGTGTTGAACCAAAGCGACCTAGCCGACCAATCAACATTACCTCACTCGTCCGATTATCTACGACGGTACCAAACACAATCGTTGTTTCATGGACTGCAGAAATTGGGAGAGTAAGTAACTTCGGTACATAACGCTGCCCAGAGCTTATTAGTTTCTGCTTTGGCATCTGTTTGGAAGATCTGAAAGATAAGCAGTTTTAATTGTGCAGAAAATGCTTCTTGGTTTAGCAATAGACTGTTCCTTCTTTTGATTGTGTTACTTTGTGCTAGGCAGACGTGACATGTTCCTTTAGATCAGTAACCCTCAATTTTTTTGGTGTGATCTCTCCTTCTCCACCCCCCTCCCACCTTTGTGACTCACCAAGGGGCCAGATAATAAGATCAAGACATCACAGAAAAACTTTGTTTGTTTGCCTTAACTTCAGACTTCAAGCTCTTCCTGATTTTAGGGACTTGACAAGCCCTATCTTGGCTGCAGCTTGTAATTAGCATGTGACATTCAGTGCGCAATGGTCTTTTAGAACCATAAATGTGGACTCTAAGCGTAGCAACTCCACAGGGCCCAGGAGATTTAATTTGCCTTTTTTACTTTTCAGTTCTCACAACGGCTATCCTTACACTTAATATTTAAAAAGTCTTGTTTTTATAACTTCTCCTGTGTGTCTGTGGGAAGGATGTTGCAAGGGGTATTTTAAAATTACTGATTTTCCACCGGACTAATTAAATCCTGAACATGCTGCAAAAAGTTACCTCGATAAATGAGTCTGTGATTTAGTGCGCTGCTGTCACGGACGGCAAAAAACCTGCTAGAAACGCCTTGCAGAGTCAATGTGTACTTGAAAAATGGCTTTGCCATTGCAACCATCCTGGTTTTAGAAGTCCTGAGAATTGTCCTGACATGAGACTTTGTCCAAGAATTTGTCAGGGCGCAAAGCCCGGGATTCCTGAACCAGTGTGGAAAAATGCGTACGGCCCAGTCATGCACAACAGCCAGTTGTAAAACATCCTGGTGCTGTTTCACCATGGATTTCTTGCGGAGCGTGAAACTGGGCTCTATTCAAATTATAGAATAAATGATGACTGCATGGTGTATTTTCAGATTTTTTTTAAGAAACCTTTTATGTGACAGGAACTGCAGGTATCAGAAATAAGCATTTAAAGATAAACCTGCGTTGGTAAACTACTCTGCAGAAGTGCCTGTGCGCCAACTGATGAATCCTGGTTGTTGCTCGGAACGCAGCGCTGCACTTCTGCTTAGGAATAGCAGGGAGGATTTAGGGAAAAGAAATGTCGCAAGTCTGCGTGGACACTAAGCGAGTCTCTGGTGAGCTGGCTAGTTTCTCACACTTCATAGATGTTTCAGTTAGAAAAAACCCATCCTGGCTAACTTCTAGCGTACAGTGCAAAACCGAAGAGACAAATTGTTAGCGTATTTAAGGAGGGTTAGATGCCCCACTCAAGAGATGTAATGCTGCCTAAAGTGACTGTTTTGAGACCTTGACAGTTAAATGCGATGAATTGTTTTATGTCTGGATGTGCCTGTGTAGCACAAAATTTGAATTCCCCTCCTCCCCTTCCCTTAAGAGTCAGTTACGTGTCTCAACTGGTGTACTCTACCTTTCCTGAAGTCATAATTGTGATTTTTACACAATCTGTTTCAAGAGCCTTCTGTACAAGATGCCTTGGGCAAGTTCCTAGCTTTGTAGATTCAAGCTGTCGGTAAATAATTTCACAATGTTAATTAGCATTTTTCTAACTTCTATACTAATTGAGGCATTAAACAAACAAGTTAAAGCAGTAGTGGTTTTTAACGATGTGAGAAGCATTCATTGTCAGAATAAAATATTTAAAATGTGGTGTTTCTGATGCTATTTCAATTGGTGTAATTTTATGGGGAGATATATTACTGAAATCCCATCTTTGGATTCTAGTGGCATCCTCAATAAAGGATGGTAGATGTCACAATTGTACGGATTTTTTTTGTTTCGTTAGTGGGAAGCATACATGGCAGTTGCTGGGGGATGTCTTTTATTTTTCAATTTCAAGTGTACGAGTGCAGCCCCAGGTTTAGTGAATCCTGTTTGTATCCAAAAGTAATTGATGGACCCTAATGTGAGAGCACAGATTGTTGTCCTTTCTATTTTAGGGCTGGGGAGGGAGAGAGAGAGGTGTTGCGGAATGCGTAGCACGATATCCCGTTTCCAGAAAGACGGTTACTACCTGCTGTTGGTAGTAGCTTGCGAGAAAAACCAAGAGCTTCGGAAATCTCCGGCTCTGGTTTGCAGTCGGTTAGTGAGGTCCCTCGAGGGAAGGCTGACCCCCCTGACAGGGGAGCTGGGAGCTGGCAGAGGGGGTGCTCGCTCCGCATCTGACCTGCTCCTATGCCACATTATTTTTGGCGGTGGCAGAAGCCAGCATCCATGGCTTCTTGCTGACACCGATAAGGAACATTTGCACGGTCTGCTTGGTTGAGGCTGGTGGGGACAAGTGACCAAAGCTCTTCCAGAGGAGAAGGACAGACAACTGGGAGTGGTGACTTCTTGTCCACTCCGGCTGGATTTGCTAGAGCACACCTTGGCCCCACTGAACTCTTTAACTTCCTTACTTGCGGCGAGCTTCAGCAGTGAAGTTAGCATTTCGTAGGAAGGGAGGAAAGACAACAAAGTTGAACAGTGCTTCCAGACGGAGTAGGAAGTACTGCAGGTGATGTATCTTTTTATGTATTGCTTTTGAAGAGGCTTCGCTACTGATTTTCCTACTTTGAAAATGAAATAAGCTTTTATTAAAAAAAAAGAAAAAGTTTTGAACATATTTGATCTGACAGCTTCCTTTAGATGTATTGACACGACAGCAGTACCTCACATCCTCGATGTGAAATTACCCTTCTTAAATGGGCTGTATGAGATGTAAAACTTCCAGAAGTGTCTTAAATGCTGTTTTAATAGCTTGCTTTGCAGGGAAATCTAATCTCGGTGAAGCGTGAAGTCGTTTTCGTTGCATCTCTAAAATGGCAGCCCAGTGAACTTCCTGAAGCGTGATGGGTTTTCTCTAGTCTGAAAACTTTGCCCTCTAAAATCTTGTAACTGCTTTAGAAACACGGTGCCCTCTAATCACCTAACAAATTGCATAAGCATTGTATAAAATACAAGCTGTCGTTTGATCAAAAGAGTTTTTACTTTGATCTCGTGTTCTGTTTTCTAGAACTATTCCATGGCAGTCTATCTTGTAAAGCAGCTGTCCTCCACGGTGTTACTGCAGAGATTGCGAGCAAAAGGAATACGGAACCCCGACCATTCTAGAGCTCTAAGTATGTCTGATGTGCTACTTGCTTAAAAAGGAAAAATAGCTTTTGTAAAAGGAGATTTGGAATAGGACTGTACGAACTGAGGTTTGGACTTCCTACAATTCTCTGGGTTTTGAGAATCTGATAGTGGTGCTCTTTGTTTTCAGTTCCAATTCAAAGACTCAGGGCCTTTGTTTGTACTAGGAGCCAGTCCAGGAACCCTGTTGACACTGTGAAGGGAAAAATGCAAGAGAATCTCTTTCAGTTCAGCCATACTGGCTTTGTTTCTTCAGGATAGAACACTGTATTTGTGTAGGTAACTGGTAATTCGGTACCTTGGGCAAACTGAACTAAGTGCCTGATACTGAACCTCGATGCTGACGTGCTGGAGGAGAGTCTCCAGCAACACAGTTTTTGTTCCTTTGGCGTGAAGTGAGCAGCTCCTGGAGAGAGGCTGTCTAGCATGATGTTCCTCCCAGTCCCCTTTCAAATTTAAGCATGAGGTTTGCTGCTTTTGTTCTTTTCTCCAGTGGACACGTTGGTAGACGTTTGTACATTAAAAATGCAAGCAAAAACCATTACATGTTTCCTTTTCAGGGTAAGAGTGGAAATACCAACGCCTGAGAGCTGTTTGTCATATTCTTTAACGCTCAAATAATGTGTATTGTACACAGCACGGGTCCTTCTCCAAAAGGGAGTCCACCTGCCTTTTAGCCCACCTGCCTTTTAGCCCACCTGCCTTTTAGCCCACCTGCCTTTTAGCCCACCTGCCTTTTAGCCCACCTGCCTTTTAGCCCACCTGCCTTTTAGCCCCCCTCCCTTTTAGCCCACCTGCCTTTTAGCCCCCCTGCCTTTTAGCCCACCTCCCTTTTAGCCCACCTCCCTTTTAGCCCACCTATAAATGCCACAAAGCCAGTGGCATTAGCTTGTGCTAATGCAGTTTGATGATTTAAATGCACAAAAATCCAGATATATTCCAGGTGGCTACTACCCTGTGTATGCACGGTGAGGATGAGGGTGTAGCTCCAGTTCTTAGAGCAGGAGGACCATGGAACTGATTTGTTAATTTAATCAATGGCTGCTTATAAAACAGTCCTTGTAAGTAAAAGTAAGAGCATGAGTAGAGATGACAGACTTCCGTAGTGCTAATATTTCACTAGAGTTACTTAACACTGCAATTTTGTCAGGGCACTTCTGATTTCCTGTTTCTCAGTTTGCTTTTTGATTTTTAAGACACAGGATTGCTTGATGGGTGTTTCAGAGGTGTACAGTGGTGCTCATCCCTGTGAGAGTTCCTAACGTGTTTTCTCATGGGCTTGAAGTTCGCAGTCAAGTCGACGTGGCTCACCTTGTCGGCAGATTTTAGACCTGTCAAGTGCAAAGTTGCACAATGTGAAAAGAGACAGCTCTGTATAAATGCGTTTTCTAGGCATCTTGGTTTAAGACGAGCTTTCTGTGCTTTTCGCTTTCTTCAATCTTGTTGTTTGTGACCTTTCTAGGAAGTAAAGACTGCTTGCATTACATGTTTGTTGTGAGTCTGAAACAGTCACTGCTGCTGCCTTCCAGGAGATACAGAAGTTTAGCACACAGTTCCAGACTTGGTTTATGTGTCTGTCATCCAATTTGTGGTTTAAATCAACTATAAAATAAACTTTTTCTTCTTTCCAATAACAGTTAAAGAGAAACTGACTGCCGATCCCGACAGTGAAATAGCAACAACAAGCTTAAGAGTTTCTCTTCTTTGTCCAGTAAGTCATTTTTTTATTCCCTCACAACTGATTCTGATCAAAATGTGGCAGTTCTGGGACATGTGTTTGGTAGAGATTTGTGTTCACCTGTGTGTTACCTTTGTGGGGATAGCATCCAGTGCTGGAGTTACCCATCATGCTGCTGGACTACATGATACAACCCTTAGAAAACGAATGTTCCGTTAGCTTGAAAGTGTTATTCAGAATTGTGTGTAAGCGTGGGCTTAAACCTATCGCTGATCATCTGAGACTGAAGTTTGGATCCTTGGTTGTGACACAACCACTCCCAGTGGTACGGTAGGTGAATCTTGACAGTTAAAAATAGCTCTTCAGCCAGTGTCTGCAGTCAAAGAGTTGAGCATCTTTAACTGAAGTTGATGATCTGCGTGTGTACACTTTGAGTATTTAATAGTCTTAGATTAGAAATGAAGCAGTTTCGTTCCAAATCTGAAGTGAGAAGGTATAGTTCCAATGAATGTGGAATTGGCAGAGACTCACTAATTGTTTTTTAAGCAGGTAGATGTGGAAATAAGTGTTACTTTATACCTGCCTTTGTGCTGTCGTTGGTAAATAGCACAATATTAATATTATGTGCACTTTTTAAAATCTTTAGGACTTAGTGCTCTTGTTTCAAGGACCATGTGGCTTCAGAATACTTGCTCTCTTTATTGACTGACCCAGTATTGTTTTTACTGTATGACTTTTTCTCCTCTTTTCAGTATGAAAGATGCATGTGTTTCCTGGTTTGACGCAATCCGTTCAAGCTTGATGCTTAATTTTCAGTTTTGAAATCTAAAGAAGAAAACTGACTTTATTCTTGCAAAATTGAAGCTTATTTCTTAAGTTATTTAATATGTTCTTAAACTCTACCAATATAAAGATAAGCTTTTAGATATCTAAGCTTTGCTTCGTTAAATGCACAGTTGACATTGTGGTTACTTTTTATATGTGTATTACATTATTGTAAATCTGTAAATGTCGTATTTTTGCGATCTTAAATCTTCACGCTTTCTCCGTATCAGCGTAATGCTAACTAAATAACAACACATTTATAAGCAAGGACAACTCAGCTCTAAAGAGGATGTAGGGATTGCATTTACAAAATGAAATCCTGATCTGTAAACTTAGACCTTCATAACCTATAATCTTGTAAACCTGTGAATTTATGTGTCATATTGAAACTGCTGCAGGTTTGGAACGCTGGAGTATTTCGGGTTCACACCTGGCAGCTTATTTTGCTGAGCGGTTACAGCTGAATTTCTTAGTACTTCGTTATTCTAGAAAGCACAACAGTAGTGATGTTGGGGTTTTGGTTGGGTTGGTTTTTCCTTTTTCATTCTTTAGGCACAGTATTCTTACCTCTTAAAATGAGTTTCCCATCCAGGCAAAGATAGTAATCTGTTAGTAGGAATTAGATGGCTCTAAGAGTTCGGAAGTGCCTGTGTGTTAATTCATTATCTTCATGTATCTTCTGGAATTAGAGATTTTTACTTCACTCATACTTGATGTGTCAAAACCTCCACTTCAGGCAGTTACGTTGCTTTATAGATTGTTCCATGAGAGTTTCCTGACAAGTTTCTGTCGGTCCCGATGGCCTCCGTTACCGATAAAAGTTCTTCTGCAGTGCCTTCAGCTGCAGTGTTCTGTATTGGTGACTGCTATTCCCATGAGTTAGTATCAGAGCAGGAACATCTCTACAGTGCTGCTTTTAGGGCTGCAAGTGTGCTAATACCTAAAGATGTCAAATTCTATTTTGCTTTCTCCAAGTTCTGCCAGGTGTAAAACCAAAGCAGCGGTCACACATGAGGATGGAGTTCTGCAGAACCTCTACCTTTGTCAGTATTCCCTTTCAAAACTTCACTAATTTTCTGGCAGACGTGTAAAACAGTCTGTGACGGATTATTTTCGGCGTAGTTGTCTCTGTGTCATTTTAATCATGTCTATGAAGCCTGTACACTTTTTTTTCCAGCATGTTCCTCATTGGATGCTATTGGATTTCACTGTAGCTCTTTGAAAAATCCATCATTGCAGAGGCTCGTTGGGACAGAGACCACTCCTTTCAACCTGTGCTATGAATAGATTATTAGCATGATTCAGATTGTCCTCGGGTCTGAATGTAATTTTATTAGAGCCTCCATATTTTTTACTTGCTAATTCCTAAGCGTTTGGCTCGGGGAGAATTTTTTTGTAAATATTTTGCACTTGCTTTTTAATGCTGGAGTGGACAGGGCGTGCTTTGAAGGTACGTGTTGGAAATGCTGATTTGGTTTCCGGCAGCAGAACTGAAAATTAAAGAACGACGCATCTTCAGCTCTGTTCATGTGAGGCTGCTGTTCTCCCCTCTCATTTGTTATGAGTGCCAATCTCTCACACGTATTCTTCAACGAAATAAATGGGAATTGTGTATCTGGATGGGGGGGGCGGGTTTAGACTTCACATTTTTTTTTTTTTTTTTTTTTACCCTGCAGAGCGAGGCAGCTTCCTCTGAATTTGTTTTGGATTGCTGCTGAGCTTTTTTTAGCACAGAGGCCTGCTCTCCCTCTGAGACCGTGGAGCACAGAGAAAAAGCTGGCCTTAACTGTTGGCTGAGTCTCTCCAAGATGCAGCAGGCAAATGGGCTGGACTGAGTTTGTATTTCAGGAAGATGCTTGCATTCATGTTCTTTTTTGCCCCTTGAAATGAAAATAAATTAATCTGCAGGCTCAGCAGCCTGCCCAAATACTTAACAAAAATTCAAAATCTAGCCTTTTACTGTAGCTTTTTGCTACAAATCCTTAACTCCTGGTTTGGGTGCATTTTTTAGCACGAAAAGACAGCAATGTTTTGTGTACTTGTAAAAAAAAAATAAATTAATGCAGTTTCTTTGGCTGCCATCAGGCAGGAATTGCAACAGGACCCATGTTGGGGGAACACAGTTCTGGAGAAGTTGGGACGCATCCTTTTCTTTTATGACCTTCCCTTTTGTCAGTTCTGGCACAGCTTGGCCAGTGTTGCAGAGATGATCCAGGAGGTTTAATGCCAAAAAAGGGAAAGGAGACATCAACTTGTTAACGCCGACTGCGCTGACTCTATCTGCGTGCGTATGGCTTCAGTTAAATCTGACTGCTGCTTGGAAATTAGAGGCACGCTTTTTAGACCGAGAGCCTGTGAAAACGCTTCTGGTTTAAATCTGCTTTTTTTACTCGGGAGACAAGTGTTTACATTCCTCCTGGCCTCCGACCTTCTTTCTTTTTATTTTGCATCACATCGAAGCGTCCAGGTTTTCTCTCCGGAACCCTTCCTCTTGATCCTCGCTGCGTTAGGAGTCTCGTATTGTGCCCAAAAGACAAATGAGCCGTTGCCCTACCATCTGGGAGATAAGAATTCGTACCAGACGTGGATCAGGCGGCCTGGCTTTGTTGGGGGTTGATTGTGTGACAGAAATAATGTGCTTGGTCATGGATTTTGGGGGCGGGGGTGCCAAACACATGGCACCTACAGCACCTCCTGCCGTCAGAGCTCTCCAGCCCCGTTACCACCGGCTCCCCAGGGAGTTCTCTGCTCCCCTCCCATCTGGTGAGGAGTTTTGTGACCTGCCCCAGAGCCAGAGCGAAGAAAAAGAAACGAGATCTTGTATTCTAGCTGGATTTGCCAGGGGTGGAAGGATATTTCTGTTTATGGGGGATGCAAAAAAAAAAATAAAAATAAAAAGCATCATGGAGGAAGTAGTGGACTGCGAGTAGAGCCTTTGTTCTTGATCGTGTTTTTAGTTTTGTGATATTCTGAGATGGAGTGCCATCCTGTGGCCCCCGTCTTGCATTGCTCAGAATGGTTGCGCGTGAGCGCGGTGCTTGCTGCTAAAAGCGGTTCCTCCTCCTGTCCGCTGCGAGAACTGGCTGAAGGTTTTCAGATGAAGTCATTGTGTGTGTTCTAGTCAAATAGATCTAACTTGAAAATGTTCAGTATACACAGTTGGAAATTAATTGTTTTGTTCTTTTGTGATGTGGGAAAAGTCTTGTTTAGACACTCCTGCTTTTTACCTTTAGTGTGGGCAGTTAAAGCCCCTCCTAAACTGCGGCGTAAGCACTTTGCCAGAAAGCAACTGCTTGGGTTTTATTGTGTATTTTTTTTGAGGAGAGCAAACTTTTTTATTTCAGCTTACTGTGAAGTGCCTTTCACTGTCTAATCAACTTTGCATTCAGTGTAATCATATGTTAATGTTTTATGGGCTGGGTTAGCACTGATTTACCTAATCCAGGTGAAGATATTCCTGTTCCCCAGTTTAACCTGAACGTGTAGCTCTCCCATGTTACCTGCTCAGCTCAAGCACTCAGCTGTGCTTTTTGCATTAAAATTGTGGAATCTTTGTGCTTGGCTGCAGAACCTCCCTGTCCTGGCCTTTCTACAAACTTGAAGAAAATGATGATCCTCATCTGAAGCTGTATTTTAGAACTTTATTGTGTTGAAAAAGTATGGCAGTAAAATAAGGGATAGCCAGCTATTTGTATTTTACGCAAGAAAAAGGCAGAGAAATTTCACATTAGCTCCCTCCTGTGTACACAGCAGAGGAGGATAAAATAGTTTCTGGAGGGTGAATAGAGGTGACTTATTCTGGGAGTCGTCATGTTCTGACGGTTCTTCGGAGAAAGTGGTGAAGATGATGGAGGGAGGGAAGTACGTCAGGAAATGATCTGTGATCCTGCAAATGCATTTACTTAAACCAGTTAAGTTAAATGAGTAGTTTACGAGTTAGTTAAACGAGTAGTTCTGGTATTGCCCTGATTACTGAGGTGTGGCCGCCAGCTTGAGTACACACTTCAGCTGTGAGTGAACAGGAGAGGACTGGCCCGTGTTAATCATCTTTTAAAATACTACCCAAGACAAATTATTTTTTGTGATTTGTGCAGGACACTGGTGTGTTACAGGTGCTCAGTGGATTCTGTGTTCTGTTACAGGAATATGGAAGGATGCAGTCTTCAGTTTCCTTGGTGAAATGTAGCTAAAAATATGATCTTTAGTAACTTTTAAGAAATAGTCAAACCTACAGAAAGGAGGAAACGGTGTTTGTGGCATGCATTTGAATAAAAACTTGGATTTGTGAGAGTTTTTTCTGGATTAAAACTCACCCTCTCTCTCTCTTTTCAAACAGAAAAGCCCTATTTGTTAATATAGTACCAAGACGATGTAATCTTTTCTTTTTTCCTTTCTCTTAAAGCTTGGTAAAATGCGGCTCACTATACCCTGTAGGGCCCTGACTTGTTCCCACCTGCAGTGTTTCGATGCCACTCTGTATATTCAAATGAATGAGAAGAAACCAACCTGGGTTTGCCCTGTCTGTGACAAGAAGGCTCCCTATGAACATCTCATTATTGATGGGTGAGTAAAATGGGAATCAAAATGATTTCTGCTGCACAGAATACGGTGAAATCCTGGTTATCTGGCTGTGACCTGCTTTAAGTTACCACGATATTTAATTTCCCTCCTCCTGGCGAAGAATTACTAACCAAGTACCTCTTTGTTCAATATTCTGGAAGAATTGTGGTCATCAAACTGAAAGTTAATAATAATGAAAGGTATTTCTCTGGATGCTAGGTAAATTTTTGAGCTATCCTGCCCGAGATGATTGTGGGTTTGGTCAGTTTTGATTTTCAGTCTTCAGTGGTGCTGGATCCCCGGCTGAAAACAGCCCATGTTGGCTTTTAATGGAGCAACCACGCAAGTCTGGCGTAGCTGGTAGCTGACATTTGTGTTAGATCAAATAAATACTGCCAGCCCCAAACGCACGCACAGTTCCACGTACAGTTTCACACTTGGAGAGCTGCTGTATAGAGGGACATAGAGATTGATTCTGTGGCACTGCCCACCTGCAACATGTTAAAAAGATAAATGTTGGTCTCTGTGAAGAAGTGCCGAGTATGTACTCCCGGGTTTGCATTTTAATTCCTTAGATAGGAATCTTCTTTCCAAAGTGTGATAAAGGGAGAGAACAAGTAGAGTCTCTCTCAGAATGTTTTGCCCAAAAAGGCACCTCAAAAAACAAACCCCTACAAACAAACCTAACAACCTTGAAGCAAACAGAATCTCAAAAACCCACCTCGGAAAAGATTGAGCTTTTTTTTTTTTTAGTGAGTACATGCTTTGTTTTGGTGACCTGCCAGTGAAGCGTGAGATTGCTCGAGATCCCCTCTAAGACCTTGCAAAAAACTCTTGAAGAGACACTTGGGGCTCACCCAGGCTGCTTTAGATTCATGGGCTCTGGGATTTCCAGGTCCTCTGCTTTGGATCAAAGAAGTGGGAGGTTTCTTGTTCTAGGTTTCAGCCTAAAATAGTAAAGACTAAGGACAGTAATAATTAAAGCAACTCATTTTCCTTGTTTCTTCTCATGGTGCCAGGTGCAGATGTTGGGGATTAGGTGATAAAATTACAGCATCCCAAAGAGCAGCTTATTTCTAGAAAACGTTTCAATCTGGGAAAGAGTGAACTTTCTCGCTAATTAAAGCAAAGCTCTTTCCTACACAGAACCACATGAATAAGCTTGGTCAGAAGCTGGAATTCCCACTGGGAGTGATGTGGTGCCAGGATCCTAAAAGTTGTAGGAGACACAGCTAAGGAGAAGAGGCTGCAAGTTTAGATTCCCATGCTCAAGGTTCCAGGAAATACTGGTCCTTAACTACTCAGCTATATGGGCTCCTTTAAGATCTGGTTAAATATTGTCAAAGGTAGCTGGGGGTAAGGAGGAGATGATTATTTTTTTAATGCCAGTTCACGTTCTTCCTTGGTGTTGGGAAACGGCGAGTTCTGTCATGAGCTCTGCAGGATTCCACGCTTGTGGTTCTTCTAAGTTAATGTACAGGTTTTTATTTTAGATAATACTTTAAGTTTTGCAATGATGCCTTTCTGTCAAGGCAGCAGATGACAAGAAGGGTAGAACAGTGAAAGCTTTCGACTCCTTGTAAGTACTAATTTGAAACTTACACTGGCCAACAGAGATGTTGTAGGACAAAAAGGAGTTAATCTCTTTTTGAGGACTGATACTAAGTGGGTTTTGATTGGCAGGTTGTTCATGGAAATCCTGAAGTATTGTACAGATTGTGATGAAATTCAGTTTAAGGAGGATGGATCGTGGGCTCCTATGAGATCGAAAAAGGAAGTGCAGGAAGTCACCGCGTCTTACAATGGGGTCGATGGTAAGTGGCTTTGGGGTGCCTGTTGAACTGCAAAGTGTTGATGTTCCTTTCGCTTTCCAGAATGCTCGTTTCTGCCTGTATGTTTGTAGCTTTTGATGGTAATTTGTGAGAGATTACTGGAGTAACCTGGTTGAGGCTGATGGTACTTTTAAGTTGTTTGAAATGTTGTGTCATCTTGTTGTCTTTTTATTGTAATTTGCAAGCTTTATTTATGAAGAATATGATAAGCTGTGATGTTATGATGATTGTAGTGTTGTCGTAAGCTACAGCTTATAAGCTTGACTTTCTTTCTATAGGATGCATAAGCTCTTCCTTGGAACACCAGGTGTCTTCTCACCAACAGTCAAATAAAAACAAGAAAGTAGAAGTGATTGATTTAACCATTGATAGCTCATCAGATGAAGAGGAGGAAGAACCACCTGCAAAGAGAAGCTGTCCTTCCATATCTCCAGCATCGCCGTTAAATAATAAGGGGTGAGAATAAAATATACAGGCCGATGCAGAGAGAATATACTCACCATGGAGAGTAGTAACAAATTTCAGAAGAAATTGTATCTGGAAAGTTCTGTATTTGAATTATATCCTGATGGACTTGATCTCAGGTCACAAGGCCCGAGAAGATTGGAATAACAACTTTGAATTGTGAAGTGTGTAACATGATACAGTTTGTCAGTTGGTTTTGTCAAAATTAGTATAAAACGGCACAAAAGGTTGTGGCTAAGTCTGTTTTTTGCAAATCTGGAAATGTTTTTCTTCCATAGAGAAACACAAAAGCAGCACAGAGAGAGAGCGAGAGAGAGAGAGCACCGAGAAACATGGGTGTGGTATGGGAGTGTGTGGGTTTTGCTGGTGATTATTGCCAGTAGCATAGTAATAAAGAGTGCTAGAACAACCTGGTTACACCTGAGCAGCCGAGCCCTTAAGAGCTCCCTGTTTACATAAACATGGAGGGAAGAAAACTGAGGCTACACCAGAGGGATCCTGTTATTGAGGTGATTACTGCTCCACTGATGGAAATGATTCGGTGATCCCTTAAAACTCCTCAACAACTTTTTTGCTGCCTTTCATTTCTAATTACTTTGTAGGGTATGAACGTTGTGGTGTTTTACAGATTTGTACGTTTTTGGGATTCAATATACCTTTAGGATTTTTTTTGTCCTGGCTTAGGAGTATTTGTAATATATTTATAGCAGAGATCCTGACACCATTTATAGCGAGAGTCATCAGTTTCTACTGTTGGAGACTGAATTTTACTTTGCTTTTAATTTTACTAAACTTCAGCTGTCTTGAATTCACTTTTTTTCTGAAAATGTCATTGTGAAAAGAGAGCTTGGGAAATGTGTGATGCTCATGTCTCTTCCACCCTGTCTCTTCCGGTCCCTACGAGACTCGTTGAGACGCTGTGGTGTTGCGTGATGCTTTCTAGTGAAGCTTTGAGTTTGAGTAGGGGGGTTGTTGCGCACCTGTCACTGCGTTCACAATGCGCATTGAGAGGTTGACTTGGTGTTAAATTTGAAAATAGGCACGAGGCAGCGACAGAAATCTTCAAATGCTGTTCTTCTAGCATTAGAGCCAAGACTGTATTTTATTCCCGTAACAAACCTTTATTTCTTCCAGCATTTTAAATTTACCCCATCAAGCATCTCCTGTGTCGAGAACACCAAGCCTTCCTGCTGTTGACACCAGCTACATCAACACGTCACTTATCCAAGACTACAGGCACCCATTCCATATGACACCTATGCCTTATGACTTGCAAGGTGAGCTTCTGACTGCTAGTAAGAAGAAAATTAGGTTAATATCTCAAGGTTTTATAAGGCAAGCTCTGGTAGTGAAGAGAATCTCAAGTTACGCTGGTTTTATTTCAAAATGAATGATGGAAAAAATGGGGAGGTGCTTTTTTGCTTTGAGAAGCTTCATTATTTTTTTCCTTTGGCTCTTTACAGGTTTAGATTTCTTCCCTTTCCTGTCAGGAGACAATCAGGTAAGTCAAGGAAAATCAAGTCATCTGGCAGATACTGTTTTCTGAGAAGGACTTGCTGGCATAGATGTATGGGGGAGGAAGGAGCAGATGTATGATGTAGGTGTAAATGCAGGCAGGCTGCAGCTTTATTTTATACACATAGAAACTGTGACCAAACATAAGTATCCTGTAAATACAGCGTAGGATAAGGCATAACAAAAGGTAGACGTTTCAGTTTCCCAGAGTTAAGCTCAGACACTGTTTTGTTGTGGAATGACCCTCGGCCATGGCCGTAGGTCCACCAGCCACCTCCTTAGTTTTCCAGACCTGAGGTGTGACTTTGGCCGTCTGGTGATGCTGACCCCACCGCTGGCACTCTCGACAGTCCCTGACACGATTCAGAGACCCAGGGGCAGCTCTCTGATTTTATCTTTTTTTAATTTATTTTTTTTCCCTGAGGCTGTGTGCCTGTTAATGCCATGTTTGCCACCTTCCTTTGAACGCTTTCTGAAATGGGATAGCTTGATGCTGGCTCCTCCAGTTTTTGGGAACTAAGCAGGTCATTCTCAAAAGGAATCTTGAGTTAGCAAGTCCTCACACTTTGATCGTTTTTTCCTCCTGTGCCTCCAAGAAAAGCAAGGCGCTGGGGTGGCTCACCTGCCCGTTGTCCCTTTGTGTCTCCTCTGCAATCCTGAAGAGGAGAATTGCGCTAAACGTAGAGGGATACTTTCGTATCATAATTAAGGGCAGAACCTACGCTGTAGAGTTTGGATTCAGAAGAGCTGTCTTGATACTCAGTAAAACATAGGCACGAGAAATACTCTGAGGCAGGTAGTGCAGAAGTCTCTTATCTGCACTGATACGGCGTAATTATACCAGCACGTAAATGTTGGGCAACGAGGCTGAATGACCCACATGTACGTTTCGTCGTAGCGGAAAGAAATATCGAGAACAAAATTACCCTAGGGAGAGATTTTCCTTAAAATCTGGTTCTTGGTAGCTGAGGATGTTGCCTTTCAGGGGCTGCGCAGCTGAGGGTGTAACTCGGGGCAGGCCTTGCTGTCCTCTCGTGGGACGGCGCGTGCTGGTTCGAAGTGCCTTTTTCACACAAGTCTGCTTTCCTCCACCAGCAGTGATTAGCACATAGTCCCACCAGCTGGGGTTGGTCTGTGACTTTTGAGCGGAGGAGAGGGATGGCAAAATGTTTCTTTGAATTTTGGGGCATTTTCCCACCGAGGAATTTTTTGGAAGAGGTAAAAAAGAGTGCTGCTGCTTACCATTCCTTGCTGGTTTGAGAGTCTTGCGATTCTGTTGCCTTTGTAGTGTTTGCTTTTACTAATACTAGTATTTCCAGTTTCTTTCGGCTTCAGAAATCAGGGGCTGCAGAGGTAAAAGTTCGTTGCATCGATCCACTTACCTTACCAGAGAGGTTGAAACCCAGAAGCTGGCAGAGCTTTAGCTTACAAATACCTTCTTTTTGTGCTGCTCTGAATCGAAACTCCGGTGTCTGAAATGTAACTTGCAAATGTTGTTTTTCCCCCCCCAGCATTACAACACATCCCTTCTTGCCGCTGCAGCTGCGGCGGTTTCCGCATCAGATGATCAAGAACTCTTACACTCTCGTTTTTTCCCATACACTTCATCTCAGATGTTTCTCGATCAGCTGAATGCAGGAGGAAGCAGTTCTCTGCCGGCCACAAACGGTAGCAATAGTGGCAGTAACAGCAGTCTTGTTTCCTCCAACAGCCTGCGAGAGAGTCATGGTCATCCAGTTGCAAGTAGGAGCAGCACGGACACGGCGTCTATCTTTGGTATCATACCAGACATTATTTCGTTGGACTGATTTTTGGAGTCAATGAACTCGTCAGAGGAAATCTTTGTGCTTGGTTTTACTTTATGTTAGAAACATAGACAAGTTTTTGGTTTGTTGGGTGTTTTTTTTTTTTCCTTTTTTAGAGGAAAAAAAATTATGTGTACAGAGAACAAAAGTATATTTTCAGTTTTACTTTTGTATATAAACCTAAGATGGCCTCACTGGTAAAAATAAGAAAAAAAAAAACACAAAACAAAAAAAAATAACAAAAACAAGGAGCTTCAGTTCATTTTTATGGATGCTGAAGATTTTACACCTGTGCATTTGTCATATGAGTTACTTTTTTCCCCTCTAGTTCGGACACAGATGGCATTATTTTCTTCACGGTAACATAAACAGGAAAGGAGCTGAACTTTTGAAGTTCAAACTTGTTGAGAGGGTTTTTTCTTCTCTTGGAGACATTTATCTTTGGTGGTGGAATCTAATTCCCCCATCCCGTGTCTAGTGCAGATTTTATTAAAGCGAAATAAACCCTACCCAGACTGTTCCACAGCATCCCCTCTGTTCGCAGGACAAAACCTTTCAGCAGTGGGTTTGGTTTTTCAGGATATTTTTGGTTTTGGTCATTTCTGGTTCTGTGTGACCCTCTATTCAGACGACTTATTTTTATTTTTTATTATTCCGTGCTTTGCTCAAGCGTGTTGCACAAGCTCATTAGTCCAGCGATTATTCTCGAGGGCCAGACTCAATAAAATCTCAGACTGAGGAATTACTTGGCTCTGCCGATGCCGGACAAGACAGAGAATTTCTATGGAATCTAAGCCCAAATAAAAGCATTGACGCATTGGACTGTAAGGTTTTTGTTTCTAAGAACTTACTGTGAAATCCTTTTAAAATAACTTCAGATCCTAATCAGCAAAATAGTAAGCATGTGTCAATTTTAAATCTGTGAGACTGCTTGTGCTTTCAAGGTAGCCATGCGTGCGTAAACGGCCTGTTGAATCCAGGCCTATCTTGTTCTGCCTGGAGAAACCTACTTCTAGCTGCAGGAGATCAAATTTCTGCTTAAAAGTTATCGAAAAACGGAAGAAAACACAAATGCTACCACACTATTGCATGGTTTGTGCAGCTGATAATGGTCTGGGTACACCGGCTTCCCAGTTCGCATTCATCAGAGTGAATATTAAGTGTTCAATGTGTCTTTAAACCAAAAGCCAACCCAATCCAAAAGCCCCGCCGCGTCGCCCCTGTGCTCAGACGTGTTGCCACATGTTGGAGTCTCTTAGGGTAGTGGGTTTCCAAATTCAGTTTTCTCTTTTTGGCCTTATAATTCTTTTTTTATTTCCCTGATTTTTCTATACACTTATGTTGAGCTTTGAGCCATACTTACTTCCTGCTTTCTTTTTCTTTGTGTTTTTTTTAAGTCGTGCATGACATAGGAAAATCGGTTTTTTTAGAACTGATGGGCCATTTGGGCTGATCCGTTCTTATTACAGAGTGAAATGTGTAAATAGCTGGAATGCAGTTTTTCAGGAGATTCTTTAAAGTAAGAGAAGGGGGAGGGAAGGAAGCTATTCTCTTGTGTCCCAAAGGCCATGTCAGAGAGAGTAAATATTTCCTCTGGTGTGAAAAATATTTTTATAACTGGTTGAAAGTGCAGGTAACAAGTTTATCAGGAAAGAGAGTTAAGGAATACTAAAATTAGCAGATTCTTGTCTGAATTTTTAATGTCCAAAACTGTTGATTGCAGCTAGTCGCTTTGAGCATTGACAAGGGCCACCTTTTGCCTATTGAAGTTGTCTCAAAATCTTGCATTGATTAAAAAAGAAAAAAAAAAGGAAAAAAAAAAGGAAAAAAAAGAAAAAAAATCTTTAATCCAAGTAGCATTAGGTATTGCTGTATGATCAGTCGTATGGTTATTTGAAAGGTTCACATTATGTGGCATCAAAATCGTTTTTAGTGTTTTTACAGCATCCCTCTGCCACTAAATAGTTGACTTGAATTTTGAAAACAGATGTTTGTGTTTATATGTATATGTGTGTGTATATATGTATTTATAGATCTGTGTGTGTGAGTTAAAAGTGAGTTAAATAGTTTTTCCCATGCATGTGTATTTCATACATATCTGGCTGATATATATATTTCACCATACACCAATTTTATAATTTATTAAATGTCAGTTAAAAATAAATAAAAGGATAGAAAATGGGAAATACTTATTTTTTAAACTCAGTCTGATTTTGAAGTGATTAAAACCTACACTAGGAATATATCTCATACATTTTAGTCATGAATACTACTAACCTGGTAACTTCAGAGCGTATGCTTTGCTATAATACCGTTTGTAAATCTGGAGTTCGACTGCCGTCGGTGTCACCGGGAGTGCATGCGCGTCCCCGCTTCTGAAACGCTCGGGAGAAATTCGGGGAGAGCTTGTGGCCGTTCTGCCGACGACCGTGGCCCCGTTCCCGTGGACTGGACTGGTAAAAGATGACCTGAAGAGCGGCTTATGTCACTTTTTGACGATGGTATTAAAATCTTACTCATTCACGTATAAAATTCAACGTGGCGAGTGTGTGGTTACACAGAATCTGGCATCTTCGTGCCTGTCTTAGCTTTTGGAAAGTGAGGTCAGCTGACGACGTCTTCCACTTCCTCGCGAGCTCCCCTGAAGGGAGGGAAGGCTGTTCAGTTCACTGTCACATTTTATTTTTTTAACCTCATCGCTCTGCAAAGAAGGGACGGAAATGTTCTCACACCCTCCTTTGTGGTGTTAACCCCATGAGCTTTGTGAGTATTCCTGTTTCATGCCTCGGGTGTTCTTTAGAGTTGATAATTCTCTGTGCCTCTGACCACAGTTGACGTTGCTTGGTAGAAGTCTCAGTCTGAGTTCTCGACAAGTCACTCCAAAACTCTCTGTTAGTCCGCATGTTATCCAAGGTGCAGGAAAGCCACCCCGGGGTCTCCTGACCCGCAGTCCCGCTCCCTTCGCCGCCTTCCTGCCGGCCTCTTGTCCTCCGGTTCTCCCCCTCGGAGCAGCGCACG